TATAGGAAGTGAAAATTATTGTCTAGTTTGGATTTTTATTTTAAATTAAATGAAAAAAATTCAGAAATTAAATTAATTATTATACTCGTGAACTTTCTTATAAATTTCAAAGGGTAAGGACAAAAAAATACCACAAACTATGTAATATAGTATATGAAAATATTTACAACATAGATTAACAAAAAGACTGTGAAAATACAATTTTCACGTCCACAAACAGTTAGAATTTGTATAAAATATCAAACTCAAAAAAAGAAAGAAAAAAAACATAAAAATTTATCACACTTAGAAATATGTTGACTTTTAATAACTAACTAGTGTTTACCCCACATGTTGTCCGGATTGTTCAAGATATATATGAGCTTAATAATTTAACGATTATATGACATTTCCGACTGAGTGATTTATGTAAAAATATATATATACATATGAGTGATATAATTTGAAATTATGTAATTCTTAATGTCAATATATTCTGTTATTTTAAGTACATTGGAATAGTTTTCAATATTCAAAATTATCCAATATAACTTATTGTCCATCTTTTTCATTCTGTTGATTTATGATTTTATGTCTTTCAAAAGTATACTATTATATTTTACATCATTATCTCTCTTAATATTTTTATCCATGTCACATTTATGAAATTCTCTCTCTAAGATTTCTCCTTATTTCTTTCCATAGATTTATCTTTAGTTTCCACGTCTCTATATACCTTTTGCAACCTTTCCCTAGAATATTGTCTGAATGTTTTTCCCATAATATAATGATTACTTCTTTTTTTTTTTTTAGTTGCATAGTCTTCACCTTTCTTTTTTTTTTTTGTCTGAATTTGATTACCTCTCTTTAAAGTCATGTTCCCAAAAACTTTGTAGTAATTATTTCATTTTCACTATTATATCTCGATTTCTTTTTTCATATATTTTTATTCTCTACATAATTTTTTCTTCATATAATTATTTTCAATTTCTCGATATACTTTTCTTCTACTGTTTGTCTCTCACAAAGACCTTTATTTTTTTTTTTATTTTGGAAAAATTTCTCATTATTTATCTCTGCATTTTGTTTTATCACCATAATGTTAAATTTTTATACATTTATATTATATATAAGAGAGAAATTAATTTAAATATTTATTTCTTATAATTTTTTTAAAAATTCATCGTATTTGATAATAATAAATAAATAAAGGAATAGTGAAGGGGACCATGCTGATCTTCTGTTTCGTCTAATTGAGCTTGAACAGTAACATCATAAACAGTAGTAATTGATGATTAATAAAATAAAATTTAAAAATTCTTGCTAAATACAAATTTGGTACGACTTCGGTCTTCCTATGTCCCAACTAATAGGCGCTTCGTCTTATTGACCTGAATAGTTTTCTACAAAGTCTAGGATTGATTTCTTGGCATAAACAAAAGGGAGATATGAAATGGAGGGAGAAGTGAGATGTCGACCCAGATGGAATTGAATAACAGTTTAGTGGTTAGGAGGTTGTACTTCCTATTATTAGACCTGGGTTCAATTCACACCAAGGGATATGTGAGGGATTTTACCCATATTAAAGTAGGATCCACTTTGATGGTTTTTATTTTTTGGTTAAAAAAAAGAAGATGTCGACCCAATAACTCTTTAGAAGTTTAGCCAATGTTTCCTTTCCTTTCGCCCGCCAGCCTTCATCATTATCAACGGCGGCATCCCTGATCAATATCCGAATAGGTATGCTATATAGGAAGAGCGTGTAAGAGAATAATATAAATTGTAAATTGGTTAATTTGCTCTTGATTAACCGAATAAAATTAGTTATTTATAGATTTTAAAGATTTACAAATAAAAAATTATTATTAAATGATGGAGTGATATGATTGTGACATGTGTACTTGACTATCTATTTTTTTTTTTTTTTTTGCTATGTGAATTATCCAATCTCATTTTACGCCTAGTATCCGTTTGAAAACTCTTTTTTAATACATTATATTTGTTTATTTATTAATAATAAAAATACTTGTCTATTCTATTTGTTCCAAAAATTAGTGATTTGTGTAATTTTCCCATGGTCTGGGAAAATTTTTAATAAAAACAAAAGATGTATCTGGACTCCAGAGTAAACATTCATTGGAATAATATCATTTTTTAATTCATGGTAAAAAGATATTTATTTTATATTTGTTCCAATTTGTATTTAGCAAGATATGACCATTGACTATTGTGCCATAACAGAGAGTTTACTCCAAACTCAATAAAAGATACCCCTCACATATTTTATGATAATATAGTAATTTGGGTTTCATGCCAAATTGGAAGATGAGCTTCGGTTTTGCAAATTTATAGGACGTTGATCTCTAAACTCTAATCAATGAGATAAAAATAAAAGGAGATAATAATTAAGAATAGTCAATTAATCATAATACTTGAGTCACATAACAAATAGTATTCTTATGAAAGGACTAATAAAGTAAATAAAAATATAAAATTTACCGTTGAAGGATAATCTCCTAATTAATTTTAGTTTTATCTATAAATTTACAATTTTATATTAAAAATTACCATTAAATGATGGAGTAATGTGGTTTCGACATGTGGACTTGGCTCTCTAATCTTATGTCAAGTGGATTAGCATGTATAATTTTATGCCATGTGTCCGATTGAAAACTCTCCTTTAATATATATAGAGATATAATTGATGAAAATTAGATTTCTTTTAAAAGAGTATCAAGTGTGGTAGATAATTATAGAAAAGTAATTCTCAAATTTTATTTCAAAAAGGACATGGTTTTCATATAACTCATTTTTTCCACTTAAATAATCAAAGGGAGCAACTATTGTCCATTTGGACATAATTTGTAGGTTTTATTATCTTTTTAAGAAACGTAAATGAGAGATTAGTCTTTAAGACGTAATATGGGGGAACAATTTGTCCTTATCACATAAATTAATGACAAACCGGCATATCTTTTTTGGCTAGTGATTTTGCCATAACATATTTTAGCATCCATGATAAAATGACCATCTTGCCCTTGTGATACTGATTCTATCTTCTTCCTCAGTCCCGTAGGTTTACTTTTTCCTCTTCACAATATAATTTGCAACGCCTGATTCTCTCTCCAATAAATCACATCCCTTTTCTTTTCTTCTCTCTCCGTCGGCGGGTACAATAAAATTTTTTTATAGTTTTACTGGCAGCAAGCAGTGTAACACATCATTGATATCCTCCTCCATCTTGCGGGCAATGTTTTTCTTTCTAAATTTAATTTTTTTAGTAGACTTTGGAAATATTTAACGGTATATTTATAAATCATAATCGATATTTTTTTGGTGGGCTAAATCGTTGTTCCCATCTACTAAAACCTCAAAAATAAAGATTAAATTGGGTAAGTAAATGCTTCGCTTCAATTTGATTGATTTGCAATGGTGGATTTTATTTGATTTAATTTCATCATTGCCTTGAGGGTTTGATTACTTTAAAGAATTTGACCTGCAATTTTTCGAATTGATCGCTCCTTTAGAATCCAAGTTTTTCTCTCTCGTTTTGGGTGGAGGGAGCGTGATGATGGCATGATGTTGATTTGGCATCCAAGTTTTTCGAATTGAGCATCAAGTTTATACACATAAGCAGTCATATTTGATCAATATTTGGGTTTGACATTTGCCCAACATAGAGTGCTTGGATGTGGCAATATCTCTGGGAGTATATAGTGAATTTGTGATGTAGCTGTTGGAGCAATTTTTATGATGTATTATGCGACTCAAGCAACATTGCAACTCACGATGAGGATGAAGTTAAACACTTTGACGTAATTGTAAATTAATTTTCAAGTTTGAACTGGTGTTTGCAATTTGTAATCATGGCCAGAGAATAGCAACATTATTTACTTGTGGGGATATGTTGAACTGTTGATTGATTATTGTGATGTATAGTGTTCTGAGTTGATACAGAAAACTGAATTGGATTTGGGACAGAGATGTAACGAAGTGAGACAAGAGGAAAGAGAATAGTTCTGATAAGAGTAATTTAGGGAAGAGAGATTATTTTTTGCCCTGGATGCTATTTTTTATTTTGGCAGAATCACCACCCATCTTTTTTGTTGTTATATTAATGTAAACCAATAGTACGAGATCAAATTTTTCCATAAATCAAAAACAGGAATTTATTTATATATAATACAAAATGATATATACAGTAGAACATCGATAAATTAGTAATCGATGAATTAATAACATCGATAAATTAATAATTCTCTCCGGTCCCAAGTCGGGACCAGTACAAAAAACAAAGAGAATCGATAAAATAATAAGATAATAATTTTTTTAAAAACCGCTATGTAAATATAGGTCCCGTCAATATCATAAATTAATAATGACTTTAAAAAAATACTATGAGCTCGAGAATCAAAGTGTTGTAGATGTTATGAATTTTTTGCATTATTTATCCAGCCATTGATGGGAGTTTATAAATTCTCATAAAAAGTTCTCTTTTAATATAGGCATGTTACGTAGATTAGGTAAATGATAAAATTTAAACTCATGCTAGAGTCTAAATTCTAATGTCTATTGGATATAAGGGAATAAAAGAATATAAATCTTATACAGCTGAGTTTAGAAGATTAATAAGATTCTTTGGGATTTCCTTTAAATTAATATTATTAATTTATCGATAAATTAATACATCAATAAATTAATAATTTTATGAGGTCCTAATAGCATTATTTATAGATGTTTAGCTGTAAAATGTTAAAATTCGATGGAAAAAACGGAATTGATTTATGCAGATAGACATAAAAAGTAGAGACTTATATATTAATAATAATAATAATAATAATATGCTCCCTTCAATTTTTATTATAAGTCATTTTGATTTGTTTTAAATTTTATTTATTATATTCTTGTAATTGAAAATAAAACTTTAAAATAAATTTTCACGTTCATTGTAGTCACTCAATTATTATAAATACTTTCAAGGTTTTAATTCAACTAGAAAAAATAATATAAATGAAACATAGATTAAATTAAAGGGAGTATAATATGCTAACATAGAATCATTTTGAACATTTTACAAGGTTAATCCAGTAAATCAACCAGCTAGTCCAGCCTAAAATTTCAGTAACGCCTCAAAAATCTCGCCACTCCAGTTTGCCACCCAAAAACCCGAATGGCTCAAGCACACCGGCGGCAAAACGGAACCCCTGTAAACCCTAGCCCTCCGGTACCGGGATTATCTTCGTCTCAAACTGCAGCAGCTAGGCCGTCGGTGGTCAAAGATGAGCATCGTTCGAACAGATTGAAGCGTGCTCGAGAAGATGACAGCGAAACTGAGGAAGACGGGACATCAGGCGGCGATGTCCCGGCACCAAAGCGGCGCGGTAATGTCAACCAAGACGTTCTTTATCGTATCGTGGTGCCTTCGAGGCAGATTGGGAAAGTTATTGGGAGGGTAGGACATCGAATTCAGAAGATTCGTGAAGAGACCCAAGCTACCATTAAAATAGCTGATGCCATTGCCGTGAGTATTCAAGTTTCAAATGTTCTTGTTCTGGCATGCTGCCAAAACATCAGTCTATAGCAATCTCGATTGATTTAGATAGCTTAATTGACGTTGATCACGTAATAGAGCCTTGGCCGTTGATTTTTTAAGTTTTACTTGGAGGAATTTACTCAGTTATATCAATTTGTTTGGGGGGCGTGTAAAATTGAAAGTCTTAGCTCGTAAAATTCACTCCGTTTGTGGAATTGAACCTAATTGCTGATCAACTTAAACATCAAGAGTGAGTTGGGGAAGGGGCTTAAATGGCCTAGGTGTTTTGAGGTTACAATTGAATATTAGCTGGTTTAAAGAAATGAAGTGTTTGTTAAGTTTGAATCACTTGGGAGGCACTTTTTTCTTTCGTTTCGTGCATTTGCAGTATATTACAATATATGATTTGGAAACTGGCTGTCTGTTTTGTAGTGTTATTAATAGTAAAAAACTTATGTTTATTTTGCCCATTTGATCTGAGTGATGGTTTCTTCTGTGAGTAAATAAGCTTTCTTTTGCCTTTTTTCTTTTTGGCAGCGACATGAAGAAAGGGTGATTATCATAAGCTCCAAAGACAGTGAAAATGATTTATGTAATGCCGAGTTGGCTCTTCATCATGTTGTCAGTTTGATTCTCAAGGTACTACGAATACTCTTTCTTTTTCTTTTTCTTTTTTGGATAAGGCGGCTTTTGAATGAATGTTTTCCTAATTTCCTGTCCCATTGATTTTGTTTCATAAGTTTGATATGATTTGTAATCATCTGACCATGTTACAAAGTACTTTCTCCTTAAATGGATGCACCACTGCATTAATTAGAAATCTTAATCTTCATAATAGATCATGGGGCCGGGAATGTATTACTTTGTTCTGCAGTTCTAACAATGTGTGTTTCCATTTATTATGAGATATTTTTATATATTCCACGTAAACAAGTTCAAGGAGATGGAGAGAGAAGTAGACCTTCCGCAGGCACAATGAAACCTTTTCAAGAAGCTGAATGGTTTCTTTGTTTAGTGCATATACAGTGAAATTTTGGGCCTATTCTGTGGGATCTTTTCTGGCTTTTTTACCTTGTAATTGGCCTATGCTCGATTATTCGCATTTAGCATGATTTTCGTGGTTGCATTCATTCTCTAGAATTCATTTACCAGAGAGAAGTTCAATGATGCGGTTCTCATGTTTCTGCTTTTATAGGATGATGGGGTTGAAGTTGAGACTCCGAAACTAGCTGTTGAACATGTGGCTGCAAATACAATTAGGCTTTTAATTGCTGGATCCCAAGCTGGTAGTTTGATTGGCTTGAATGGTCAAAATATTGAGAATTTGAGGACTTCCTCTGGTGCTTCAATCTCAGTTCTTTCCCAAACCCAGCTACCTCTGTGTGCGTCAGCGCATGAATCTGATCGCGTGGTGCAGGTGAGAGCCTTTGGGTCATTGGTTTAGTTACCAAAAGTTACGGTCATACTTAAATTGCTAGTGCTTGATCGCACACGTGGCATTTCATCGTTTGATGTTACGTAGTACTTTTGCTGGTTCTGTGTATGATTATTTAGTCCTTACATTTGTTTTTAGAGAAAAGTGTGAAGCTTTTGCACTGGTGCAGCCCTAAAATTTGTTTCCAAAGCTATTAAGATCATGAAAAAGAAAATGTGTGGTCACATCTGACTTGTGCTTGACCGTGCATGATTTGCAGATTTCCGGAGATATTGACTCTGTTCAGAAGGCTGTGATGGAGATTGGCTGCCATCTGAGGTCTTTTAACAGATTTTTTAGATGTAGTCCATTTATCTTTACAGCAATGATACAACCAGTGAAAAAGTATAGTGAAAACTAATAGTGACTGATGTGTCTTTGCTAATTAAGGGTAGAAGTGTAATTTCTTAAAGGGAAAGATATAATTTCTACGGGAAAGTGGCTACAAAATAGGAGGCCAACTCAGTCACTATTTATTTTCACTGTATATAGTCACTATACTTATCATTTTCCTTATCTTTATTCTTTCGCGCTAATGTGTAAAATTTGTGCAGGGATAACCCTCCTAATCAAGTTATTTCTATCAATCTGCCACATAAACATGGTTTTAGTCGACAACCCCATCAATATGTTGATCCAACCTCAGGTTGCTTTATCTTTTTTGCATCATGAGAATGTTAAAATCTACTGCATCCAGCTTCTGTATGCAACCGTAATATTGTTTTTCTCATAACGGCATGATGTTTAGGAAAACCACTCTTGCAGCTGAATATGTAAATCTGGAGATTATGGTCCCTGAGTCAATGGTTGGCGGCTTAATTGGGCGGTGTGGCTCCAACATATCAAGAATCAGAACAGAGTCAGGAGCAACAATCAAGGTATGCATCAACTATTATCCCCCACTTCTAAAGGGTTGAACTTTTCTTTTGGTTGTATGTGGACCTGCTACTGGCTTCTCATTCTTGCTGCGCAGTATCTTGTACTCAAGTTCTATTTTAGGTTATTATGCTGCCAAAAAGTATTATTCCACTTCGCTTTGGCAGGTTTATGGTGGGAAGGGTGAACAAACGCAAAGACAAATTCATTTAGGCGGTAGTGCACAGCAGGTGAATGTTGGTATCTTTCAGCTAAAATTGCTTTTATTGCAGCATGAAGATAAAACCCCTGTTATTCCGTCATAACTTTGCAGAATAATCTTTCTTTGGGCATCTATGATTCAGATTGTAAAATTGCTTTGAGAGGATGCTACTACTTCAGATTGTAAAACTTATAGAGAATGCTACTTTTAGTTGCGTGGTGAATCCCTTTTTGCATATTGAGGAACCTTAACTTAGGACTGCAAAGCTGAATTTGTTCTTTTTCAGCATATCATGGAATATGTTGGTTTTTGTTCTGGATGAATACCTTAAAGTCTGTCTTGTGGATGTTCATTGCTTTTGTGATGTTTAAGTCTGAGCTGTGTAAGTACCTAACGCTAATCTCCACTTACAGGTTGCCCTTGCCAAGCAAAGGATTGATGAATATGTATATTCCCAGATGATGCAGCAATCCGGTGTTCAGCAGTCGCTGTAATACTAATCTAAAACTCATAATTTCAACTTATGTGATTATGGTGGCTTTTTGTGACTTTAATATACTGCGAGTAACTATTTTTTTGTGGCCAATGCAGGCCTGCTGTTTCAGGTACTCTGTTCCAAGCAAATAGCTATCTCCAAGCAAACTCTTTGTTGCAAGGTTATGGACACAACGGTGGAGTATATATGAACAGGTTGAATCTCTAAACTGAAATGTTGCTTAGAATAATTTATCCTGCGAGTATGCATGGAGCCCTCGCCCTTTCTGTTAGCTTGTTGACGTTTGATGCTGTTCATACACTTGTCAAACGCCTGATATGTGCATTTAGTGTGTGCATTCAGGATTTTGCATTAAATTGTATGCTTTAAAAATCAATCAAACTCGACCGTAAAATCCTTGGTTCGGCAGTAGTCCTCAAATCTAAAGTGCTTTCTTGTACTACTATTGTTTTCTAAGATAGCTATTTGTAACTTCTGGAGTTGGAAGGAAAAAGACTGCGTAATGTTTTCATTTAACTCTTGCAAGTTTCACAGTTGTGGATAGTGTGTTTTGGTAAATATTCACTTGTTCTACGCAGATTATCTTTAGGTTTTTATTTTAATGGACTTCTGTAAATTTGCAGTGACCATGGGACAAGTGTAATGCCAGTTAATCCTGCAGTGTATTCAACAACAGCAGCAAATCAAGCTGCAGTTTATTATGGGCAGTCATATCATGCTCCACCATTATAAGTTTGGCAGTGGTAAACCTCTGGTTTCAACCAGATGATTGGTATACAAGTCACGGCAGTTTTATTTTGAACTGCTTTTACTCACATTGTAACAATGTAATTCTATGTTGTCTGTAGCCTTTCTTGGTAGGAATTTTTTTCCAACCCCGGCCAGTTTGACCGTAATTTGTGCTGTATCCTGAAACTGAAATTTTTGAGGGAAAGATGAAAGGGGTTGGCATTTGTTTTTTTTCCCCTCCTCTTTTTCCTTGTCAGAAAAGTAAAGTTGTCTAACGCTGTGTAAATAACGATTGTACTCAATGAAATGGCTTTATACTCTCTTCTTTTCTTTGATCTTTACTGGGTTTGAAAATTGAAACTAGCCAGTTGTAGTGATTCAGATTTTTGATGTTTTTTACTTCGGTTAACAAGGTTGGATTGAGAGTTGATACTTGACATTTGGTGGAAAATATAGCATTTGTTATGCACCCACCAGTATGGGATGGAGAATTTCTTGTACGATTGATAGATGCCGAGTCTTGAAACGTGGAAAATTAACAATTTCATAAGGAAAACTTCAGAATTATCACCTGTCCGAAAACATTGCACAACCCTAAATATCATACTAACAATTTCATAAGGCAAAGTTCAGAATTATAATTTGTCCGAAAACATTGCACAACCCTAAATATCATTCAAGTAGACTTCATTGATCCTAAAGGAACATTCTGCTTGACAGACGTAGGAATAATGATAAAAGTGCTGAAACTATGGGCAACATTAACAAATCACGCCAGTGCAGTACGGGGTTAGTTGGAAGAGTACAACATACTTGAGGTTAGCTGGAAGAGTACAACATCGCTAAATATTACAGTTAATTATATTGAAGAACATTTTCAACTGGATTGTTCCTGGGGGAGAACCCTTTTAACAAGAATAATTAATATGAGATTATGTGCAACCCTTACAAAATCGCCGACTCGGGTGATCACAACCTCCAACTCATTTCTTCACCAAATCAAGTAGAGACTTACTATGAGTCGGGAGAGACCATAGGCTTCTGAGATTTAAGGCCAAATAAGTTCTCTAACAGCATAGGAGCCATAGGAGGAAGATCCATCGGCTGAGGGGCCATAAAATTGACAATCTTTTCATGAACATTATACCTTGCAGATTAAACATTTTCATCAGATTACAAGCAAGAATTCTCAATCTGCAAAGCTCCAGGAGAAAAATAATGCATCCTTGTGATGCAGTTGTATAGCTACTAACCTAATCTTTCGACTCTTTGAAGCGCGCCGGTCTACAATTTTTCTCTTCTTAACCTGCAATCGTTTTACAGCGTAAAATGCTGTCTCTGTAAAAGGTAACATGTCAGTATGACTGACGGTATATTGGTCTTTGCTGCTTTAAATCTAAGAAGAGAAAATTTTGCAATAAGCCAAGTACCCGATGCATTTGGATCAATTGTCTCGAGGAACTCTTTTAACAACATCTGATAGAAGTCCGAGTCATCCAGCAATTCCGGATCACCACCATCCATGCTCGTGACCTGCACGAATCAAGGACACAAACATGCCTTACTATATATGATAAATATACCGAGAATAAAACCTTTTTTGTGTTAACCCTCCCAACTGAAACAACCAGAGCATGGCAGTGTAACCTAGAGCTTTACACTGGCAGCAAAATCGATGAGAAAGTTCTGTCTCGCAGTTTAAGCATTACATATCCTACACACATTTTGGTGCAAAGAATCAAGACAAATGAAAAGCCAGAAAAATCAGACAGCCAAAGTAGATGGGGGTACCAGAATGTTGCACAAAGAAATTACAAAGTATATCAGCTCCTATTTTCAGCAGCAAACTGATAGCATCAACCCAGTTCAATCCATTAAGGAACATATGAAACTAAGCAGCTATTATCCTTGGAAAATACAAAAAGAACAGAAAATCCAATTTTAAGCATGGGCACTGAAAAAATTATAGAGGTAAATGTATTTTAGTACCTCTGAATTGGTAGAACCGACAGCACCCAGAACCTACATATCCAAAAGCAAACTATAAGACATAATGCAGTCCAGTGTTATAAAAAAGGAAACAGACTTGTAGGGTGGAGTCTCCATAGTGGAGAAGCTAGTCAATGGTAGAAACTTAAACTTACAGCACCAAATTGAGCAACTGCAGATTTATTCTGCAGCATTCCCTTGATCATTTTACTGGGATCCCTCATATATCCACCCACTTGTTGGCTTATACTCTGCAACAAAAAAGGGCAATCAATCTAGGTGGTTTCCTCTTTTAGTTCCAGACAAAAAGGACAAACTAACACTGGAGCCAAACCTGGTTAAAAGCATGTAGCTTTCCTTTCATAGAAGCAGCTCCGGTTGTCACCTGGGTCTTTCTATGCCACTTATCAATTGATTTATTCCTAAAAGGAGCCATTCTGCAATACAAAGAGCAAAAGAAACATAATGACATCACAGGGTCACTTAGCAAAAAGGTGGTTAAGCGAGAGAGGAACAATGCAGCAATAAATATATATTCCTCAGTTAAAAAGGCAAAACTCCTGAAGTTTTCTGTAGTAAGAAAACAAGTGAAAAGAAATGTGCTTTAATCGGGAGAAAATTATGGGGTTGCTCAAGCTAGCTGAGACAGTATCAGATACCAAGACATCATAATTACCTTGGCAATTATAGATTCTGCAACTTACGCATGCATATCAATCACTTTTGTATAGAAACCAAAATGTAAATGCCATTACTAGCTCAATTTTCTTTGTTCACAACTGAATCCAGTGTAAACTCTCGTAAAGAAGCATCTTAACTTCACTAAGTACTGTTGTACAAACCCCGGAATTACCTAGAATGCATTTCAGAAATCCGCAACCATTGTGCATCACTTTCCCCATCTGAGTTTCCAGAAGATTCCAACTGCCTGGAGTCTTTTTCCAAGCTAACTGAGAGAAATGAATTTGAACCAGCAGCAGACAGTATTAAGATCAACTGTAAGATGATAAAGAAGATAGCTAAAACAAAACAAAAGAAATAAAAATGCAGATAGCTAAAACAAAACAAAAGAAACAAAAATGAAGATAGCTAAAACAACATAAAATAAACAATGCTTCTTGACAGATGTTTTGCAGATATGGTGGAATATTAAATATTTCAGCTACATCCATACGTTTCATGAATACTAAGACATCAGGTACACAAAAATCCAACATGACCAATGTCATTGCTTCCCTTTTAAAGTAATTTCTACGAACATAAAAGAAATAACTTCTGAAGCCTGTCAGCGAAGTGATATTCACAGCAACCGACAAAACAATGGGTGAAAACTCAAAACAACCCTCGCTCCCTTATTCAGCAACTAAGCCACTATCTACTATTTGAGGTCAGTTGTACAGGTCATATTTCATCATTGCGTTTGATCAATGAACACAATTTATTCAAGTTTAAATACATCAAGCTTTTTGAAACAGTTTTTAAATACATTAAGCTTTCTGAAATAGTTTCTCCCAGGTCTTTTGGAATTTCTACTTCCCTTTTCCCTTTTGATTTAGTCAACTTTCCATCTGTTGGGTAAACCTCCAGTATCTTTCCAACATAATTATTCTATCAATTCTTCTATATACACACATACATCTGAAGTAGTTAGTAGTGCAACAATCATCCATGAAGTCCCAATTTCAAAAAGCAATTTACCATTATAAAGCAAACAAAGAAATTTTATTAGCTTCTAAAACCCCAAAAAATTCATCAACATCTATCTTACCTCCAGAAGATTGAGTAATTGATGGGTTCTTCTCAAGTAGTACCTGTTATGGACATGAAGTACGTTCTTAAATCAAGAACATGAAGTACTTAAATCAAAAAAATTTCTTACAGTTTAACAACTTTCTCTCCAGGTATAGTTCTATTGTTACATCAAATTTGAATCTAATGCTCACCTCCTGTAACTGATGTATAGAATCTAAGGTTTTCTCAGCTGAAGTTAAAACATCCGAATATGCTTCTAAAACTCCCTTGTCAGAATCACAAAACAAGGTTCGAATAGGCTCCTGCACCAAGGTAGAATTAGTATATATAAAAATTTTACAATGCAAAGCCCTAGAAAACAAGATGAACGTGTCAAACTGCACCTGCGGAAGCCTGTTTGAACTTGAATATGCCTTCTGGAGCAAACATCTGAACTCAAGAGCCTTATCCCAGAGAGCCTTAGCAGAAAGCGAGTTGAACACAGAAAAAGAAGGGGCAAAGTAAAGTCACTCACTGGGGACCATAAACCAAAACATAGCTCCAATGGAATGAACGTACAGGAATAGCTACCAGCCATTGACGTACTAACAAAAAAATAAAGTTTATCATGTATTTGAAGTTCAGTAGACCAAACCATAATCAAGTAAAAGGTCAGAAAGTTCAAAAATAAAAGGGAAGGCAAAAGGTCCCCGACACCAAGTATGGACATAACCATGCACAATGTTGAAGAGTACCACAATTAAATATCCTTACCCTTCCATTTGCTGTAGGCACAGAAGAAGTTTGTTTACTTCATTGACAATAGTAGAAAATGACTAGGTTCAAGCTGGCAAATACCATTAGAATAAAAAGAACAGGGAACTGCTTCATACCTTTTGATTTTTTACAGCACGGGCAACTTGAAGATCCTCATCCTTGTGACGTTTCAAGTTCTCTAAAGCATCTCTAAAAAGTTAAAAGAGGTGCAAAACTGTCACTTACAATTCAGCCAACAGAATTACAACGATAACAACTAAGCCTTTTTTCCTACTACGTACGGTTGGATACATGAATTACATGTCTCCATAGTGCATTATCAGAACACACACTTTCATCTATTTAAGTTCATAATTGTAGATTATAGATAAACATGAGTTTAAAGTTAACTCAACAAAATCTTTTCAGAGGGATATGAAAATACATGTAACATCACGTTGATAGAAGAGATCAGAATACAAATGATCATACAATTATCTTCAAAACAAAGAGAATCTTACTCCTCTACATGCTGAAGCTCCTTATACTCTTGCTCTAGCTTGGCCATCTCCTCATTCATTTCAACATCGTTCCTTTCCTGTTTTTCTTCATCAGTATACTCTAGATTTTCATCTTCATCTTCATTGCCACTAATATCATCTCCTTCCTCGTCATCTCCTCGCGCAAAATGACCATTAACATCATCACCATCATCATCCTCATAATCATCATTCTGCTTGTAAGAAATACAGAATCAATAAATGTAACAGCATATTCTCCTCAGAAAAGGCATTCTCATTAAAGTTTTAAAGTGGGATGTTCTTTGTATAAGTTCTTCTAGGTTCTTTTAAGTTTTCTCCTCAATAAAAGTCAAATGAGCAGATTTTAAGGTCTACCATGCATATTCCTAAATCACTTTAAGTATATTCCTGTCCTTTTTGTTATCTTTAGGATCTACCTCCGCTTCCTTTCTAAAGTATTCATTAGTATTCTATGCAGTTCAAAGTACCAAACATCCAACAACGAATTCATAGAGTAAAACAATATTTGCAGTGAGAATACCAAAGTACAAAGGATGTGCATCTTCCTTTGTTCCAGCAACTTGATTTATATATATAACATCTTAATCAACTTCTGTTTTTAGTTCAGGTTAGAAACTATACTCAAACCTTTTTGGTACTTCCAATTCATGGCACCCATTTCCACTTTTAACCAATGATTCTAAGACTATTTGAATAAGATACGCAAATTCAGTTACAACTCTATTCATTAAAAACCTTTTGATTCTAATGTCTTCCTCTTTACCAAAAATTAGGAATTCGCCCATTCTCTCATCTATTAGTCAAACTGAAGGTTCAACAAACAACCAACATTTGCTTTTGTTCATTCAAGATGTTAAGCATGTTTGACTACAAACATACATGTGATCAACAAGGATCCTTGACGCAAACGTATAATAATACAAAAAAATTCACCATTTATCTATACTCACATCAAAATTATATTGCTGAGCACTCGAAACAATCTAAATATCAAAAGAAATAATAAAGGTACATGAAACTAACATCGGCTGGCGAGTCATTTTCCATGGAGTACGTATTATGGAAATCAGAACCACTGTCACTGTCCTCATTCATTTGCTGCTTTCTTCTTGATCGTTTCAGAGAACCCATTTCTGCAAAAGACCGAAACATCAAACAACCAACGAGCATGAGCTAAATAGGCCTATACAACTTTCCTGGAGAAATTAACGAAGGACAAAAAACAAAATTAACAGGGGATGAATTTCTAATAGAAAATTATGTCTATCTGTATTCCAATTAACGAGTTGAACTGTGCTTCCTAAATCTAAATCGATGTGCCTTAGAAGCCATTGCTGAAATAATTAAACTCGGAAAACACAAAAAAAAATTAATAAATAAGGGGAAAAAAAAAGTTAACTTCATACACTTTCATTAGCTAAAAAACTCAAATTAACTTCATACACTTTCATCGATGTGCCTTAGAAGCCATTGCTGAAATAATTAAACTCGGAAAACACAAAAAAAAATAAATAAATAAATAAGGGGGAAAAAAAAAAGTTAACTTCATACACTTTCATTAGCTAAAAAACTCAAATTAACTTCATACACTTTCATTAGCTAAAAATTAAAATTCGGAGAGTCACGGGCGCTTTTTAGGGATATCAAAATCATTCATATTAAGAACACGCATTCAATTGAAATTGGTAAAAAAAGAATTTCATCAAAACCTCAAAACTCTTCCAAGAAAAAAAAAAAAAGTACTTACTGAGTGGTGGTGCTCTTAATTTACTTTCACGGGTGGTAGACACTCCCGGTGGCGGTCAGACGTCGTCGGAGGCGTCGGAGGCGACGGCGGCGTGGGCTTTGCAGGCGGAGGGTTTTGAGGTTTAATTAAGGTCGGTGGTATTTTATGGTTCTGTTTACAATGAAAATGGAAGGTTTTGGTCTTTCAGTCCTTTTTGGCTCCAAAAATTGTGCTTAATAACAAGTCAGCCCTTAACTAATCTATAATGACAAAATTAAAATTAGGAGCCAAAAAGTATTGGCAGATAACTATAAAATCATCATATAAAGTCAATATATTCAGGATTTTCTAATCCTCCAAACTATGATTTTCGGAGGTGAGCTGTAATATGATGTACTCCCTGCGTCCCAGAATTATTGTCCAGTTTTACTAAAATGAAAAATTTTATTTTTAGTCAAACTTAACTATATTTTACTTTAAACAACCGGATTACCCCTACATAAGTAATTGTTTAACCACTAAGATTTTATGGATTATGTTTTTTACTAAGAACAAATATGTAACTTGATTCATAAAAAGTCAAATTGGACAATAATTTTGGGACAAAATTTTTTAGGCAAAGTGGACAATAATTATGGGACGGAAGGAGTAATAGGTAGGATTGGGAGGTTTCCTCTCTATTCTTTTGTTATATAAACAATCTTTAATCCTCCTAAACTAAGAGTATCCGCAATGCCAAGTAATTGGCATAGAAATCGTGTGAATTACTAATTTTTTCCCTCTTACCCATAGTATACCACAGACAAGAAATGTTACATGCTCTCTGTTATTACTTTACTTTTGCAGAGTCAGAATCAATTCAAGTGGGCCAAACGAGTTAAAATGTACTGCTTTTATTATCATAAATGAAAAATTTTTGGAAAAACTTAAAAAGATGGGCTATCCATTTTCTGTAATTCCATTGTGAGAAAATAGGAGAAAAATGTAAAAGTTGAGTTGGCAAGGGAGGAGACTATTATTTCAGTCATTTTTTGTAACCGAATTGCGGTTGCCCTAAGGAACCACGGAAGGGAATGATCATGATTTTATTATAGAGGTGTTTCGTGACTTATGTCTCTATGTTTATTTATAAATTCAATAATTTATCTGTATATACTCCATTATAACAAAAATTAATTTCCAAATATATTCTTAAAAGTTGTCTAATCTTAATTCCCCATAACTTTCTACCCCAAAAATATTTATATACATCCTAATATCTATCCCACTACCTGATTCAGTTTCCAAATCAACTTCAACTTCAAAAAATAATAATAATAATAATAATAACTCTCATACTGAACAAACATCTGACTTGAACGGCCATCTAGCACAGATTCTAAAATTTGAACAAAAAGCTCTTTGCGGTCCTGAAGCCCTGAGGAAGCAAGATTTGTTCTCTACAGAAGTGTTGTCAAAAATCCAGTGATTTTATCCCACTCATGTCTACTCTTCCCTTTCATCTTTCCCACTTATTTTTAATTTGATGTATTGTCTTTTGCCTATAGGTGATGATAGTAATTTTGGATGTGAATTGAAATCTTTTCCTGCAGTATGTTACAATGTTCGTGAAGGTTAGTATTAATTGTCTTCAGGTACAGTCTTATACATATAATTGCAAGTGTGTTTGTATTTTTATTTCTCTGAATTGATTTGATGCTTTGCTTTTTACTCTTTGGGTTTGTGGGATCTTAATTCCAAAAGGTTTGCAATTCATAGCAGGATGTTGTGCGAAAAGATACTCTTTCATGGCAAAATTTTCTGCACCCTATTCTTTGTGTTTTAATATCACCAACGATGCCCTATTACAATTTACTAACAACATTCACAGATAGTGGCTTGAATGGTGCTTTAACGCAATACAAGATGGACAAAAGATTTGTTGTTATATTTTTTTTTTAAGCAAATCGTAAAGATAGCGCCTAAAACGTGATAGCCGACTTGATTAATGGATTCAAGAAAGCTTTGCTGCCTACATTAGGAACTGACATCTTTTCCTTCATACATATATATGAGTTCCATTAGAATCAAGCACTTGCTATTCTTGATTTTATTTTATTTTTTTTCATTTCTGTGTAGTTGGTATCGCTGGCATATTTGTGATCAGGAATTCTTATTTTGTTCGAATTAAAAATTTGGACCCCCTTAGTTTCTATTGTAGTTTAAATCCCAAAGATGAACAAGACTATGTTACTAAGTTTCTAAATTTGGAACATTTAGTTCTTTTTAGAACTCTATTTTATATTTATTCATACTTAGTTTTATTTTTAAAATTTTATAATTAGTCATGAAATTGTAATTTATATACAACAAATAAAAATTTATACCCGTACAAATGCACAGGTCCAACACCTAATAATATTTATTAAACTTTAAAAGTCTTGATATAAGCTTGTCCACTAACAAAATTCCTTTATGTTTTTCTCTAAAAGAGTACTCCCACCGTCCCACATCGTTTTTCATCTGCCAACATGAATAGAATTATCGTCTACAATTTAGAATAAAGTTGCGCCCACTATGAGGAGTATTATTTTCATCTACCCGTTTGGATTAAAATAAATGGCTTCATATATTTTCTTGAGCACCTGAATGTTGATTTGGGTATATAATTCCATTCATTTCATGGCCATTCAGCCCAAAGGCCCAAAAACCTTAAACTCCAATGTTTTTTTGCTCCCTTGCGTTAAATATGTATATTACAACCAAATTGGTTGCGGTGAAGTGGAAAAGACTCATCCACCTTTAACCATAGGTCGAGAGTTTGAACCTCACCATGAGCATGGAATAACCTTAAATACTTTGGTCAGTTGTCCCACATATGGAGGTGCCTACAATTCAGAAAGGGGAATTAGTCAATGTTACTGACGGTGGACACCATGTAAATATGCAATAAAAAAAAAAGTATATTACTCTTCTATTTTTTTAAAAAAAAAAATCACTTTCCAAAATAAAAATATATAATTAAGTGAATTATTAAAAAAACATATATATTCTTAATCCCTATGGTGCTTCATATGTAGGACTGTAGGAGCACCCTGGCATTGGTTAAATTGCTCTTTGGTAATAACACTATGTTAAAATGAAATACTAAGATAGAGATGTAAGATAGAGATGTAAGATAGAGCAATCTTAAATACTTTGACCAGCTGTCCCACCCATTGAGATGATTACAATAATCAGGTTTTCAGAAAGATAATGAAGGAATTCAGAATGGAAAGTAACATACTCTGTTTGATCCAGATATGCGTAGTGATACATGAAGGAATTCAGAATAGAAAGTAATAATGTACTCTGTTTAATCCAGATATGCGTAGTTCAACGAATATCAACAGAAGAATGCAGAAATGAAAATTATAGTTGTGTAGGAAGAGAAAGAGATTGCTTATAGGTTGCATTACAAAATACCGGATGGAAATTATGGGTTGTGTAGTTGTGCTTAGGCCCAAATACTGAATCCATTGAGCTCTTATTTCGAGCTTGCAAGGTTGCATGTGAACTTCATTTTGGTTTGAATGCTATTTTCAAAGCCCACATATGGAAGACTGCTATACATTTGGAAATGGTCTAAAGCAAAGCAAAGCCCTAAAAATAAATTTAAAAAAAAAGGTCTAAAGCAAAGCAAGATTTTCTATTTGCAGTAATCATAAAGTTTGTTGATGTGGTAATACATTGAAACTATTATAATAATTTAAAAGTGATAAAATCAGTGAAACTATCTAGTGGAATGAAATAACAAAATACGTAAACATAGCATATATCAAAATACATACCTTTAATATTGTTGTATCTCTGGTTCACGCAAAAACAATTATGTTTTCGTGATTTATGTCATTACCTTAGATTGATTGTATTGCTTATTTTTTTCTTTAACCAAATACGTAGTTACATGTATACTTCCCAGATTGATCTGAAATCACATGATCAAGCAAGTGGGATCTCGTATTTTCAATCAAAAATTTGACCATTAAAATACTAACCCGTACGTGCAACCATGTTATTTTACTATTGAATAATACTTCCCTATTAGGCTGTTTCCTAAGCAGCAACTCGCGCAATAATCTTCTTAGATTACAACCAAAATCCAACCTTAATTTGATCATTTGCACGTTCGCATTGTCTCTTTAACGTGCGCGCTGCCGTACGGTTTGGTCCTTTTTTTCAAAACAAAAATTAGAATTCCAACAAAATGATTGAAACTTTGGTGTAAAAATAAAGAAGAATTTGACCAAAGAGCCCAAATCTAATACTAACTTTTGACCATGTGAAGTGCACGTACATTGATAGCTTGTCACACGTGTGGGTGAGTGTACACTCTGCTGGTTTTGTCAGGTAAAGCTTTCATGGTTCATCTCCCAATTCCAATTGTTTTTAAAAAAAAAAATGCAATATGAAAACGAAAATTATTATATCTGTACGATTGCACATTACTGCAACGCACATGAACGTTACCATACGTTTTGAACAGGAGAATGTTGGCAAGAAAATTTAGTTTGATATAGTATATGTATATATATATATATATATCTTTGTAAACAATTATATTTATTTAAAATTTGTTAGATGACAAGGAGGAAATCCCTACATTTCATGTCACTGTGACCTAATTATGAAATTGAGACGTGACATTTTGCATGACTATTACTTTTTAATAAATCGATATTATTTCTGTTGACAAAAATGTGAAACTAAATTCAGTTGTATTATAGAATGTTAATGGGCATGAAGTGGAAGGGGTCTCTATCCTTAACCATAAGTTGAGGGTTCGAACATCGCAATGGGCATGGAGCAACTTTAAACACTTTTATCAGCTGTCTCATCCATTAAGTTGTTTGCAATTCACTCAGAGGGGTTAGTCACGGTTGCCGACGGTAAACACCCTGCAAATGTATATAAAAAAAAATGCTAATGAATGAAATTATAATTAGGAAAATCATTTACTACTACCACTACACACATGCAACAAAATTTGACAGATGAGTCAGTGAGACATTCCGAGATCATGTGTAGATCCAAACAAAACCCGCAATTCAAAATTCGACCCAGAGAAACCGTGAAGATGGACCAAAGTATAGTTAATAGAGAAAAATTATACAAAGGGAATTAGGGGCACTAAAATCACGTGAGCATCACATGATGGTTTTGGGGAAGATGGAAGCCTAATGCAAAAATGTAAGA